TTATGTAAATAAAAACATATATATTATTATATTCAAGTGTCATGTAAATAAAATGATTAGTAAAATTTAAAATTTAGGAAAAATATAAAAATATGAAAATAAAAAAGAGCTCTAAAATTCCAACAAAAGTCAAAAAAGAATGTAATAAGATTAATCTTTTTAATACATATATTCAAAATTCAATTATCGAACTGTTGTAACCATCAAAACTCTATAACTGCTGTCAAAAACAAATCCTCAATCCCATTGAAAAAATTTAAGAAAAATATAGAAGAAAAAAAATAAACTTTAAAATCCCAACAAAAGTCAAGAATAATACTTAAATTAGTATTCTCATAGTAAACCTGAAAATGATCTTATTGAATAATAAAGTTTATAAATATAAAAGTTCAAAACAATTGATGAATAGAGAAAATAAAAGATTGCCTGAAAAAAATAAATTGTTGAAGAAAAAGGGTTTGAAAAATGAATAATACATCAAGTGATAGGGAGGAAGAATAATACCTAAATTAGTATTACGGTAGTAAACCTGAATTTTTCATCTATAAATTTTAAACATTAAATTCATTAGTATAATATTGTTTTGGTAATTTTAAAAAGTTTAACTTTCAATCTTTCATTCTCATTCTTGGATAAAACAACCTTATCCTGATGAATTTCATATTTTAAATATAGGGATGGAAAAGTATTTTACATAATACCAAATATTTTAAGAAATCAAAAATCTAAGAAAAAAATGGTTTTCTAATGTTTAGAGGATAACACCTCATTATGTTTGGTTTTTTCTTTAAGAATTAAGAATATTAGAAAATAAATTTCAAGCTCAATGCTAAAGAAGAAAAAAAATCACAATAGATCGATCAACATCAACAAAAACCCATATCATATTTGTTTTCTTGGATGATGCCTCAAATCAATAAAAAAATATAAATCACATCCACAAAAACTGAATAAAGAAGAAGAATTGAGAGATTAAGAGAGATTATTATGCTAAACAATGCTACCTTATTTCAACAAAGATTAATATGTCACTTTATCTACAAAAAATCATATGCCTACATAATTCCAACCTTAGTGTGAATTCTCCAACTAAAAGACGAAATACTATACTTACATAAACAAAAACTCATACCATGATTTGTCTTATTGAATGACGCCTCAAATCAACAAAAATGCAAATCGCCTCCACAAAATTATAACTGAATAGTGAGGAAGAATTGAGAGATTAATAGAGAGATTCATATGCTTGCATAATTCCAATTTTAGTGTGAATGTCTCCAATTAAAAGACGAAAATAATATACTTACATTAACAAAAACTCATATCGTATTTCTCTTCTTGAATGACGCCTCAAATAAACAAAAATGCAAATTCCAAAAAAACTGAATAGAGAGGAAGAATTGAGAGATTAAGAGAAATATTATGCTTAAACAATGTTAAATTGTTTCTTCAATGATTCATATGCTACTTTATTCACACAAAAAGAAATCCATATGCATACATAATTCCAACTATAATGTGAATGTCTACGACTAAAAAAAGAAATACTATACTTACATAAACAAAAACTCATACCATGATTTGTCTTATTGAATGACACCTCAAATAAACAAAATTGCAAATCGCATCCACAAATTTATAACTGAATAGAGAGAAAAAATTGAGAGATTATCATAGAGGTGTACCACAAAATTATACATGAATAGAGAGAAAGAATTGAGAGATTATTATAGATGTGTACCATGAAGAGAAGATGAAAATTTATAACCAAATAGAGAGAAATAATGAGCGTTAAAAGAGTAATTATTAGAGGGAACATGAATAGGTTGAAACAATCTAATTAAATGATATTAAATATGAATATTAAAAAATCAAAAACAAATATTGAGGTAGGAAAAACTTGAAAAAAGGAGAAAAAAAATAAAACATTTTCTTGTTTTGAGAAGAGGTCACATCATTACATGTGATTTCTTCTTTAATATATATATATATATATATATATAGATTTGATTAAAATAAAAGTTTTTATGATAAGGTGTCAGTTAAGTAATTGCTTATGAATAATCATTATAATGGAGGGTAATTTCTAGATAATTTTTAAAGTTAAACTGTAATTGTAAAAAATTGTGTTATAAATTTTTGATTAAATAAAAGACAAAAAAACTAACAAAAGGATAATAATGGCTCTCATTTAATAGATTTTTTAATGGCCGTTAAAAGAAGTACTAAATTCGAACATATTTACAAACCACTATATCTATCTTATAATTTTCTTTTGAAATGTGATGTCTGATTGTTTGAGCTTGGGCTCTAAAAGTTAAAAGTGCGTGAAGGTCACATGTTCAAATCCAAGAAGAAATAAAAATCATTTTGTAGTCACTGAGGTTCAAATGCGGTGACTCCAAACTACCTGTAAATAAGATTAATCTGCTCATATAGCAGATTAGATATCCAGGTTAATTTAAAAAAAATGTTATTTTTGACAAACCAAAGAGACCATATGTGTAGTTTATCTAAATCTCTTTTTTTGTTGAATTAATTACGATTTAAATAAAGAGTGAATTATCAATTTGGTTGATCAATTGAAACAACGAATACCACTTTCAAATTCCACCTTTCATAATAATATAAGATATATGCGAATCTTTTTAAAAATTAATAAAATTGTGATAACCTTAAGAACTAATGCATCATGTACTGTTTTATATGATTTTTTTTCCATAGAAGACTATAATTTAGAATATCGATTAACATACATTTGTTTCACAATGTGTTTTTCTCACATGTACTTGTTTCACAATGTGAACTTTTTTAGTCTGCTTGTGAAAGAAAAGTTGCATGTAAAAAAGTTTCATATTATAAACCACATACATATGAAGGAAATATGTTGTGAAACAAATATATGTTTATGAATACATTAAATGTTAAGCCTTAGTTGAGAAAAAATTATGTGAAACAATACGTTAAGATAGAAGTTTTCACGATTATCACAATATATGGAGTTCTCAAATAATTAAATCTCTACATATATAACTAGTTTTCGGTTAGATTAGGTTGGGGGACCTTCTTTGAGAACCCCTTAAATTATAACAATCTTGAGAACTTGTGCATCGTGTGTTATTTCATATGATTTTTTCATTTAAGATTAAGGAGTTATAATATTGATCAACATATATTTGTTTCACAATGTGTTTGTTTCACATATACTCGGTTCACAATGTGACCCTTTTTGGCGTGTTCTTGAAACAAAAAATACATGTAAAAATGTTTCAAATTGTGAACCGAATACATATTAAACAAACACATTGTGAAACAAATATATGTTAATCAATACAATTAAACACTATGTCTAGATAGAAAAATATCATATGAAATAACATATGATACACAAGTTCTCAACGTTACCACAATTTCATGGGTTCTCAAATGATTAAGCCCCAGATTAGGTTCAAATAAAACCTCCAATTTGAAAAACAAATCGGAAACATTCGTTTTTTAGATCAAACCCTAACCAAAACCTCTAAACCAAACCGAATTTTTGAATTCAAATCCGATCTGGTTTGGTTTCTTCGGTTCCAAACTCGAAATTAAACACCCCTACAACCAAAAGCAGCATAACACATGAATCAACAGCAAGTACTTTCTGAATGGTGTTTTTAAGGAACCTAATGCTTGAAAGGAACATCCAACTGAATCATATTTTCTTGAATTAATTACATTTTTAGTCCCTACGGTTTAGTGTTTTTAACAGATCTCGTCCCTATAATGAGAAATTAACTACCTAGGTCTCAGATGGCCCAAGTAGCAACCTCCGTAAACCCATCTTCAGTAGCACAAGCTCTAAACATACCTACACCAAACCAAATAAACCCAGTAAACTTCACACATGTACTAGGTATGTAGGTAGGATATATACAGACGTTGTCTCTATATCAGTGTTTCCGTGAAGACCCAGACTTGCAAAATGAAAATTATAAAAAAACATTACAGATAAGAGTGTGTAAAATAAGCAAACTCTTAAATAACTTAAATCAAACCAAATGAATGCAGAAAATTTCACAAGAACTAAGATGGAGAGACTGTTTTCGTGAAAATCCCCATCTTGCAAAACAATATTTAAAGGAATAAGCGAGGCTACAGATAATAGTGTGTGCCAATAAGAAAACTTTGAACATATTTGAATCAAACCAAACAAACCCAGTAAATTTCACATAAAAGTAGGGTATGGAGGGCAAGATATACGTATGTATTGCCTAAACCTCAAGGGTATGGAGACTGTTTCCATGAAGACCCTCAGCTTGCAAAACAAAAGTTGAAAAGAAACAAGCGAGTGTGTGTGCAAATAAGCAAACTCTAACATACTTGAATCAAACCAAACAAGCAAGATGTGTGAGGATAGGAGTTAAAAGTGAGAAGTGTAAGAAGGATTTGGACCCTTGATCACTTTTAACCCCAAAACAACCCATGAATTAGCGTTTAGAGGAATTGATCTAGTGGTTCTTAATAGTGTTGATCCAATGGTTCTTATTAGTGTTGATCTAGTGGATCTCTTCAATTAGGATTGATCTAAGAGTGGAGATCCCTTCTTACCCTTGTCATCATAAATATCATTTTCACCGGAATCCAACCCTTCTGTAAAAACCCCGTTGCAGAACAAAAATTAAATAGAAAAAGCGAGCAGGCTACAGGTAAGAATGTAGGCATACCTGTGGTGTTAAAAGGCATGGCAACTTCACCTGTAGAAGAGACAGCAACCAGGCCAGTGGTTCCCTTTGGTGAAACTTGATGTACAATATAATCAGCTGCTTCTTTCAGACCTAACCCTTTGTATTCCATTACTGCCGCTACGTCTCTTGCCACCGTCTCACGGATTATGGCTTCACCTATGCCGGTTGCAGAGATGGCGCAAAACTTATTGGCGTAGGTGCCTGCACCGATGATGGGCGTATCCCCGATCCTTCCAACCATCTTGTTCACCAGACCACCAGTGGAAGTTGCAGCCGCTAGGTTCCCGAGACTGTCCACGGCTACACATCCAACGGTTCCAAGTTTGCTATCCCCATCGGGAACTGGTGTTTCCTTCTTATCTTCTGGTTTAAACGGTGGTGTATAATCTTGCTACAAGTAAAATTAACAGATGCGTTAGGGCGTCCCCAGACCCCCACCGTACTGCAAAAACACCATTTCGCCGGTTTCGAAGCTCCAACCGGCAGGCAAAAAGGACTACAAAATGCAAGAGATGGGAGAGAAACGGCATATATGCCGTGTTCCTGTTCAAATGGCATATATGGAGTGTAGTTGGAGTTGAATTCTTTTTTGGTGTTAACGAGCCCATCAATTTGGTGGTTTTTAATGTTTGTGGTTGGAGATGGTCTGTGTACATCGCACCCCCACGACCCCGCCTCTGGGTGGGATATACTAGGTTTTTTTGGTATCAACTACTCATTCTATACTATGAAAATTGCAACAATTTCCATTTTCCAAACTTAATTCCGCCGTGACGTAGAAAAAATCATCTTAATTCACAAGCAAAAGCTGTGAATATATATATATTCATGATATTTTATTTGAACTTGAATCAACCGAGACAAAATGAACATACCTGAACTCTATTTGCTTCTTTTGCTTGCTTTAGTCTCTCAATATTTTCTGTAGTGATGAAATGACTCTCATCTATAGTTTCAAGCCCCTAATTAGTGTGACCAAAAAGCATTCAGAACCAGAAACGAATTGGCAACCAATAAACATTAGAAGGGACACCAAGATGCATTACAAATAATGAAAGAGAACAAGAAAACTACCACCTCCGTCCCCTGAAAATGACAATATTTTCTTTTCCGGGAAAACTTCAAGTACAAATCACTCATTTTCCCAATCATAGTTACAAAGCAATTGACATATTGGTTTAAATGGGCAGGTTCAAATGAAAACTGTAAATATATGAAAAGCGGGGAACCAACTATTCATGATATTCATCATGAGGAATGCATGATAAATGATATTCATCATGATGAAATGCATGATAAATAATATTCATGAATATTTTAGGGTTATTCATCATGAATAGTCGGTTCCAAGACTTCCAAATCATTTACGATTCTCATTTGAATGTTTCACTTGCCATGTTCTCATTTGTGGTTAATCTGTATGGATGCATCAAACAAGAATGTTTTCACTTGCCTGTTCTCTTGCAAAGGCCTCTGCACCATCAAATGCAAGATAAATATGGGGAGTTTTTTCCATGACCTGTCTTGCCAAAGAGATGGGATTGACAACCGTAGAGACACCAGAAACTGCACCACATCTCTTTGAATTTCCATCCATGATGCAAGCTTCCATTTCAACCGTTCCATTGGTGGTCAGAACAGATCCTTTTCCAGCATTAAAATGTGGGCAATTTTCCAGTTCCCGTACCTACAGTACAATGGTTTACAGGAATTTGAAGTGTACATATGTAACATACGGCCATCAAATGTCCTCTGGTTGCATAACTATTCTCTAATCGGTTTATGCTATCTTCATATCACTTCTATAATCTCTTATTTCTCCATGCTCTTGCTATGAATATGATTACTATAAATCTTGTCTTACTGACGAGGTTTATCCTATGTTTCAGTTCGGTTTAATGGACTGTCTCTATGTAGAAGAATACTGATTGAATTTGCAACTCTAAATTAAGAAGGATTTAAGACATATGCATTGATTATTTACCGCAGTACTTCGTTGCTGATGTTATAATTGATCAAGACAGATCAAAGCAGATAGGGTACCCCAAATGAATACTCAGCAAGAAAGGAAATCAAAGAAATCATTGGATATTTCATGTGTAAACTTGTCAAAATTACCAAACAAACAACGCATAAAAGGGGAACCAAACATTAAGTCAACTCTTGATCAATTATCACATCACTGCTATAAATATTCAATTCGGATGTCTCAATCGTTCTTAATATAGAGCTAGAAATTCAATCACTTCTCCTCTAAATCCATTAAATCGAACTAAAATGTAGAACAAACATATTTCGGCAGTAAGGACTAGATTTTTAGTAATCATATTCACTGCAACAAGAGATCATAGAAGTGATATGAAGACAGAACAAATCGCTTAGAGTAATAGTTATGCAACTAGAAGAGTAACTGAGCTGACGATGAATTAGAAGAGAATACCACAAGTTCAACGACGTCTAAAGGAGAGCATCTGGCATTAAGAGCAGAGACGCCGATCTGAAGAATACGACGGAGGGCAGCTTCTCGAGGCTCAAGGCGTTCAGGTGGCAAATCGACCGGAATAGCGCCGGCTCCGCCGTGCAAAGCTATCGCCCACCCCATGTTTTATGTTTTCTTTCTGTTCCCACCTGAAATGAAACCCCAACCACCTCAACATCCTCTCCCCCCTTTTAAAAAGCGTTTCATTGATCAAGAGTTTGTTTGTTAGCTGAATTTAAAGACACGTTTTTTATAAAAAAAAAAATCTCATCCATTATTATAAACTTTTTATATTATAGTATTGTATTTTCAGTTTTTTTTAATTATAACAATATATTTTTTAATATTTTTTATTAAAGTATTATATTTTAAAAAGTTTACTTATTATAACATTGAGTAATCTTTTAATTTAAATTTACTTATTATATCAGGTTCCGTGTCACCTCATTATTCACATGTACCATATTTCTTATTATAACACTGTACTTTCAAAAGAATCATTTTATAGTATCATCGGTTTCTATTACAACATTGTACTTTTAATTTTAATATGTTATTATTTTGTTATTTTACATTTAATCAAACATGTTTACGTAAATTTAGTATTTGTTTCTAATTCTAAATTTTTATTAAAATTTAGTCTTCCAAAATCAAGATTATAGCAATAAGTAACTTTTTGATTTTAATTAAGATGACATGGCACAATTGATAGGCTTCTATGTCATGTCATTGTCCATATATGAGAAAATTTTGTTGATGTGACATTTCTTATAACAAAAATATAGTTTGAAAAAAAAATTGATTTTCACATATTATTTAGGGTTGGGCTAAATGCACCCCTATCCATGAATTTATTCCTCACACACATCAAAATCAATACATGCTTTTTACATTCTCAATGCTTGAATGACCTGATTCTGACATCAAAGGGGGTGCCATTAGCACTCCCCATTATTTATTAATATATTAAATTAATTAGAAAATTCTGATATATTCATTAATATACTAATATTAAGAAAACTAGTAAAACTCAATTTATCTAGCTGATATTGTTAAAAATATGTATTTTTGAACAAAGAAATAAAAATTGTTATCCAATCTCAACGACAAATCAATGGTTAAATTAGGAAACTAATAATTTTGACAATTTGACTTGAGATTTTAATTAAAGGGCATTTTAGGTATTTTAAAAATCTTATATGTCCTCTCTTCTCTCTTCGTCGAACTTTATTTCGGCGAACTTTATTCCGGCAAACACATGATGCACAATGTGATACGTTTCATAAAAATAACAAAAAAAATACAGTGTGATACACTAAAACAACATTACCTGATATATTGTGTTACACTTCGTAAAACAACAAAAATATATTGTGATACACTTCGTATAACGACAAAAATACACCGTGATACACACTATAATACCAATTCTGGTTGATAAATACAACTGTGATATCACTTTGTTACCACTGTATTACACTCAACATTACATCTCCAAAGAGATCTAAATTACATCCAAAAATTTTACATCTTCGACGATATCTGAGTTACATCTGTGGCAAGATCTGGGTTACATCCCCGATCTAAACAAAAACTAGAAACTGAAACCGATCTTGATGAAAATAGCTATAGTTTCCAATCTTGACTTATAAATTGACTTTGCTTTGAATGTCTTTTGTTTGTTATATTCTTAGCAGATAAGGGTAGATTGTGAAATATGTAAAAGTTGTTGCTGAGCTTTAATTAAAGAGGACTACGCCTCACTATTTGCAATTGATGGAGGGTAGCGGAGCTCAAAGAGAGGATCTTCAAGGACTATTTTTGTCAAAATCACAATCATATATAAATGAGGAATGAGTCGGATTAGCTACACATCTCTTTCATTTTTTTCTCTAAATTTTGAATCACACAAGAAGCTCTCTCTCTCTTCTTTACGTTCTTAAAAGATCTGCCTTAGATCTTTGGCAACACATTCTGAGTTAGTGTTTCTAGTCTATTATTCATTAGATTCAATAGTTATTAGTTGTATATTTCTTTTCTGTAAACTGTTTAGAAGAAGATTTGGTTTATAAAAGTTTCTGTTCTAAATCTCTTTGTTAAAATGGCTGAAAATATGAAAAATAACATGGTATCAGAGCGATGACCTTGCTTCTATGTTGTTTTTTGTTTCATCCTTCCTTTTCTTTTTTGCTTACGTTCCTTGATATATGATTGTTGTGACTCTTCGATGTTTGACGCATTTTTTGCACTTATACATCAGATTCACACATGATATCCGTCGTAACTATTCATCTTCTTTTACGATATGTTCTTAATGACCGATTGTTGTGATCTATCGATGCCTGATGTGTATTTGGACTGGTATATCAGATTCACACACTACTTCTGTTTTGACTGTTCATTTTCTCATAAAATTGTTCCTGGTATGATCGATTGGGTGTAAACCTTCTTTTGGTCCCCTCTCGTGATCTCTGTTTTTGGTTTCACTGCTTAGAGAAATATGATGAATGTCTTTTCTGATTATGTGTATCTCTCTATATGTTCGCTTTTGAAATGATCGATTAGGAGTGTACCAAACTGGTTTTGGTCCCCTTTCGAGATCTTAGCTCGTTCTTTTTTGTTCTTGTTAAAAGATCTGTGTCCTTATTCCAGATCTTTCTTTAATGCATCGATACTCATATCTTTCTAGATCTGTTCATTTTACCTTGGATCTGTGTCCTTATTTCCAGATCCGATTGTAATGCATGTATATCTTCTTTCTCAAGATCTGTGTCCTTGTCTCCATATCTAGTTATATTACATGTTTTTCATTCTTTATATTTAGATCTGTGTCCTTTTTCCAGATCTATTTCTCTTAACATGTACATTCGCCTCTTTCTCTTTTACTGTGTTTTTTGTATTACTACTGTTTACATATACTGCTGCTTCACTCTGTATGTTAAGATCTGTTTCATGACAGACCTGGTTGTAGTTCTGTTACACTAATTCATGCTATCTGTTCAGGTACATTATGGATGTTTCCCTCTTTTTGTAGCAAGTAGCTTTATATCGTGTTTTAGGCATTATACCTCTTCCTGGTTGGTTATTATCTTTGTTTTATCCTTTAACTCTGTTAAAGGACTGTGTGGTAAGGCTGTTTTTCCTTCCCTTTCTTGTGTGCTCGTTATTTTTTTCTCTAAGGAACTGTTTTGTTGGCTTGACCCAGCACTTTAAGTGTTTTAGGAATCTTGCCTCTAAGCATTTCAGTTCCTATTTTTTGTGTGTGCTTTGCTTGATGGAAACTCCCCTCGTTGTTGCTAGATCTTCAAGTCCAATGGATCCCAAAGCCATAAAATTAGACTTTGGAGATCCACTGTACTTGCACCTTAGCGATACTAGTGGAGGCTCCCTCTTATTCTTAAACTGTGTGGTACTAAAAATTATCGCGTGTGGCCCTGTGCTATGGTCTTAGCCCTTGAAACTAAGAATAAAGTTGGTTTCATTGATGGCTCGTGTGCCCGTCCTAATAATGATTCTGCTCTTGAAAAACAATGGGATCGTTGTAATTTCGTTGTCCTCTCATGGATCTTAAGCTCTATGACAGAGGATTTATTCCTTGGCCAAGTTTTCTCTAAAATTGTCTCTCAAGTTTAGGAGGAACTTAAGGAAACTTACGATAAGGTCGATGGGTCTGTAACTTTCAAGCTATATCAAAGGATTAATTCCTTAAGTCATAATAATATGACCGTTTCCGAATATTACCATAAACTAAATTCTTTTTTGAAACAATTTGATGCCCTAGTTAAACTTCCCTCCTGTACTTGCAACGTATCTCATGACTTTTTACAGCATAGTCAACTTATTAAATTGATGCAGTTTCTTATGGGATTAGCTGATATCGACCAGCCCATTAGAAGCAATAATTTAACTAGAGACCCTCTTCCCTCGGTTAAAACAACATTTTCTCTAGTATCTAGGGAGGAATCTCATAGGGGAATTACATCTGGTCAAAATCGTACCAAAACTCAGAATTCTGCTTTTGCAAGTAGAGCTTTTGAAAACAAAAGAAAACGAGGAAAGAATCCTTCTAGCTTGATTTGTAAACATTGTGGTAACACTGGCACACTATTGAACGTTGTTTTAAGCTTATAGGATTTCCAAAAGATTTTCAGAACCGACCCCGACCTCAAACTCAATCTCAAAATTTTAAACCACAAGGACAAATTTTTAAATCACACACTGGAAATGTTGTTGTTTCGGATACTACCTCTTCAAAATCACCCTTTGTTTTTTCTAGAAGAACAGGTTGCTCAAATCTTGAACTTAATCAATTCCAAAACTTCTTCAGAAGGATCTTCTGCCAATATGGCAGGTATGTTCCAAAACTCTTATCTGGGCTAGATAATCGATTCTGGAGCCAATCAACACATGACCTCCAGTCCTTTAAACTTAGAAAATGTTGTTGATGTCACTGATTTAAACCTTAATGTTAGTCACCCTAATGGGACTAAAGCTAAGATAAACAAAATTGGTAACCTGAAGTTATCTAATAATGTGACTCTTTTTTATGTTCTTTTTGTTCCTGAGTTTAATGTAAATCTTTTGTCTGTCCATAAACTCACCCGGGATAATAAGGTTTGTATTAAATTTGATGAAACAAACTGCTATATTCAGGACTGTTTGCACAAGAACACTGTGGGGATTGGTAGTCAGGATGGAGGGCTATACTTTTTTAATCAAACCTCTAGCAATAATACATTCTCTTCTAATGATTGTGGTATGATTTGTTCTGTCTCTTCTCAACTATGGCATAGTAGACTCGGTCACCCTACTGATCAAGTTCTTTATGTTTTAAAAGACAAATTGAAAATTGGAAATGATAATAGGAGGCCTTGTGAAATATGCCATAAGGCAAAACAAACTTGTGAGAAGTTTGTTACTAGTTTCCATAAGGCCAACTGCCTTGGTGAACTTGTTCACCTTGACATTTGGGGCCCATATCATATTCAGAGTAGAGAAGGATACAAATTCTTTTTAACCATTGTCAATGATTATACCCGAGTTGTTTGGGTTTATCTCTTAAAAGGCAAGTATAAGGTTGGTGATCATATTGAAAATTTCTGCAATCTGTTGTTTACTCAATTTGGGAAAATTATTAAAGTTTTTAGGAGTGACAACGGAACCGAATT